CTTAACATAAAACTTTTTTGTCGTTGTCACGTCCCGGAACCAGAAACATGTACAGGTCGTTCCGGGCCGGACGGTTTTAGATGTGGGACGGGAGCGATGGAAAGATGTCGGCGGCGTTGCTCCAGATGTCATGTCGGTACCGGGGCATGTTCGCGGTCAGGGCCGCCGGCATCAGGACGTTGATACCCGGACTGGTCCCGGAGCAGTTCCGAGCCTTCTCGGTCCGGAAGGATCCGGATCTGGAGGAGAACCCGTTCTACGGGAAGTACCAGGACAAGATCCAGAAGCTGCGCAGGTCTGACCCAGCAGCAGCAAGCGTCCGAATCCTCCTTACAGATTCACCCATTTTAGAAATTATCGCGTTTTTTACAATGTAAACTAAAGTCTGTGATTCTTCTGAAGATTTTATTTAAAGTTTTACTATCAGCTGATAAATTCGGCGTTAATTAAATTATATAAATTAACATATTTATTTTAACTCATATATCTTTCCTCTGTGAGTAGCGCTTGATGAAAAATGTACATAGAAAACAACAGAAGAAATTTCACCAATAAGCTTGAATTTTGTGCCGAATTTATTTTATGATCTCAGACTTCAGGATTGTGGTTTTGGAATTGTATAATTATATTTATGCTTTTATATATTTTTAAGTTTGACCTTACTTTGTTAGATAATTCTTCAGTAGAAACCTGTAGTTAAAGAAATCATGTTAATTATAAGAATAAGTCTCGTCACCACTGAGTGAGGATGTTCAGCAGGAAACCGATCGGTTTGTTTGATGCGTCACTGATGTTCGACCTCACCGTTTTCAGCTCCAAACCGCAGGAGTACAAGGAGCGCCTGGAGAAGCGGCATGAGGCCAGGAAGGAGGTGCTGGGCAACTCGAAGCAGGAGGAGTTCGTGCGGCTCATGGAGCAGCAGGTGGAGGATCAGAGCTCCAAAACGTTTAACGTGTCGTTCAGTTTGAACTGAAAACTGATTTCTGTTGTTTCCAGTTGGAGAACAGAGACCAGACGTCTGCAGCTGCTGGAGCTTCTGCAGGTTTCACCAAGAACAAGGTGAGCCGAACCACGYCGCAGAGAAAACACCCAAACAGCTCTGTTTCTGTCAGCTTTAACAATTTATTTATTAAAAGTCCGTGTTCGTCCGTCCTTCATTCAGACTCTCGGTTCCATCCTGAACCTGGACCTGATCCAGGACAAGACGGGCGAGGAGATCTCAGAGGTGAGGAGTCAAAGCTGCTCAGATCCCAGAGAGGCCGTAAATAAACCTGCAGGAAGTTAAAGATTATTTTACAAACTTTCTTCTTTCCCCAAAAAGAAGGAAACAATCATAAGTTGTGTTTCCATTGACCATGAAAATGTGCAAATTAGAATTTCAAAAATAAATTTGCTCAATGGAAACACGTCAATTTCGGAAAAAATTACGTTTTTTGAGAAAACGTTTTTGCGCTAGGATGAGGTGGTTTTTCGGCCGTATCGAAATTGGTGTTTTTCACAAAACTGCAAT